GGGCAGGGGCTGCAACTGGGAAGCTGAGGCCTCCGTGAAACCCCCAGCCCAAAAGCACCCCAAGCCCCAACTTATCTCTGACTCTCTTTAAGCCCTCCCCAGGACCGCTGTGGTTTCCTCCTGGCTCCTCTAGTTTCTGACAGCAGCGGCCCCCCCCACTGTACTAATGGCTCAGCCTGGGCTCCAGGGACCTCCCCGCCCCCCAGACTGCTCTGCTGGCCCCCAGGCCCCCCTCACTGCTGAAACCCAATCCTCTGCAGCAGCTCCAGCACCACTTGACACAGCCCCGCAGCCCCTGCTTGCCACCACTGCCTGCGCCCTACCTGGTCCCTGCTGCAGAGCCCAGCGCCGAGCCACCGCCTATTTCTGGGGAAGGCCAAGCTGGACCCACAGGCCACCTCTTCCCACCTCACCAGGCCAGTTCCTCCCCTCGTCTCACCTTGGCTCCTCTCCCACCTCTCCTCTGCTCGCTTCACCCTCTGGCCCCGGCCTGGCCACACCTGGCCACCTGAATCCTGCCTCGCTGCCCTTGCCAGTCCCGCAGCCCACCCTAGCTCCCTCCGAGCTGCAGGCCCCCTCTCCACCCTCCTCCTCTCTGGCTGCAGCCACGAAGAGCCCCTCGGGGATGGAGGAGGCTCGGAGAACCGCCTCAGACCTCCACGTGTTCGCCAGCAGCTGCACGCTGCACGGGCTGGGCCATGTCTTCGGTCCTGGCGGCCTTACCTTGCGCCGCGGGCTGTGGGCCTCCGCGGTGCTCCTGTCGCTGGCAGCCTTCCTCTACCAGGTGGAGGAGCGGGTACGCTACTACGGGGAGTTCCACCATGAGACTGCCCTGGATGAGCTCGAGAGTAGCCGACTCACCTTCCCAGCCGTCACCCTGTGCAACATCAACCCGCTGCGCCGCTCACACCTCACTCCCAACGACCTGCACTGGGCTGGACCTGCACTGCTGGGCCTGGACCCTGCTGAGCACGCCGCCTTCCTACGTGCCTTGGGCCAGCCGCCCACACCGCCGGGCTTCATGCCCAGCCCCACCTTCGACATGGCACAGCTCTATGCCCGCGCCGGCCACTCGCTTGAGGACATGCTGCTGGACTGCCGCTACCGAGGCGAGCCCTGTGGGCCTGAGAACTTCACTGTGGTGAGCTGGCCACCCCAGCTGTCCTGCCCAGTGATCCACCCTCCCCTGGGGTCCTCCCCAGTCAGGGAACCGCCCCACGGTGCCATTCTGCCTCCTTCCTGTCTCCCAGCTGGCCAGCACTGTACAGGGCGCAGCCACTGATCCCAGCTGGCTGTGCAGGCCCTGCTTCTGTGTGGGGCCCCTTGTGGGACCATCCTGGGCCAGAGGACCTCTCTCTCTAGGGGGAAGGGACTTGCTTTCCTCTCCCTCTTCCGTGTTCTGCCGGCTCGAGGAGGCAGCTGCCTGCTTCCTTTCCTCCCCATCCCAGAAGGAAGACTTACCCTGGGCTTGGTGGGGGTGGAGGGGCTGGAGTGGTAAATGGGCGCTAGAGAAGGCTCCACTACATAGTACAGGGCTTGGGGCATCAAGACATGGGCTTCGGAATTCAAAGGGAAGACCCAAATGGAGCCCAAGGGGCAAAGGCCCGGGCCCTCATGCTTGTCTGGGGAGAGGGCTGTCATGTCCTGTCCCCCGGCCAGATCTTCACCCGAATGGGGCAGTGCTACACATTCAACTCTGGTGCTGGTGGGGCAGAGCCACTGACCACTTCCAAAGGAGGTGCTGGCAACGGGCTGGATATCTTGCTGGATGTGCAGCAGGAAGAGTATCTGCCAGTGTGGAAGCCCACGGGTAGGGAACGCTCAAGTGGGGTGGGGTCGCCTTCATGGAAGACCATGGACAAGGGTCCCGTGTGGTGCAAATGGGATGCAAATGGTATGTGAAAGGCTAGAGAGGAAGATGAGGAGGGGAGGAGGGGCTGGGCGGGACTCCAGAGCATGTGCTTTCTACAAGCAGGAGCAAGTGCGGCTCTTCAAGCCCTGGGGAGAGGGGGCTGCCAAGGGAGGTCCCCCACCCCGGGGTAGGGCTCAGACCACAAAGGCCCCTGCCTGCAGATGATACCCCGTTTGAGGTGGGGATCCGAGTGCAGATCCACAGCCAGGAGGAGCCTCCTGTCATCGACCAGCTGGGCTTCGGGGCAGCCCCAGGATACCAGACTTTTGTGTCCTGCCAGAAGCAGCAGGTATCCTCAGCGAGCCCCCGAGTCCGCCCCATCTCCTCCCTTAGGCCGCACTCCCCGCTTCTAAACCACAGTCCCTCTTCCCGGCTCCAAACTCCAGCGACCTCTCACACTGTCCCAGATCCTCCTTAACCCTGTCCCCGAACAGCTGAGCTTCCTGCCACCGCCCTGGGGCGACTGCAGTTCCGCATCTATGGACTCCGACTTTGAGGAACACTCTGATCCTCTGGGTCCCCCCAGCCCCAGTTCCAACCCCAGGCCTCCCTATAGCCTAATGGGGTGTCGTATGGCCTGCGAGGCCCGCTACGTGGCTCGGAAGTGCGGGTGCCGGATGATGCACATGCCGGGTAAGGAGCTGGGGTCCGGGTCCTGGGGTGGGGGGACCCGGGGTGCGGATGCTCAGGATCCTGCGTCCGTCTCCTCCTCGCACTCCAGGCAGCCCGCCCGTGTGCAGCCCTCAACAGTACAAGGATTGTGCTGACCCGGCCCTGGGTAAGGGACAAGGTTTCCCACCTCTCTGCCCCGCTCCGCCCTTGGCCCCGCCTTTGATCCCATCCTAGCCTCCCCACCGCGCTGGGTCGGCTGCCCTGACTCCGGCCTCCGTGGCCCGCAGACGCCGTGGTGCGGAAGGAAACGTGCGCCTGTCCCAACCCGTGCGCCATCACGCGCTACGCCAAGGAGCTCTCCATGGTGCGGATTCCGAGCCGCGCCGCCACCCGCTACCTGGCCCGGAAATTCAACCGCAGCGAGGCCTACATCGCGTGAGCCGCACCGGGGCGGGGTGGACTCCTCCAGTCCAGGGTTCTGCGGGCCTGACGGGCCTGGTGTGCACAGCCGGGGTCAGACCCAGGACCCATCAGCACGAGCTCTGGAACTCAGAGGGTGCCCGGCGAAAACTCAGACCCATTTTCTTGCAGAGAGAACGTGCTTGCCCTTGACATCTTCTTTGAAGCCCTCAACTATGAGACAGTGGACCAGAAGAAGGCTTATGAAATGTCGGAGCTGCTCGGTGTGTGCAAAGGGCCTGGGGTTGTGGGTCCGGGCCCGGCAGGGGGCTGAGTTGACGGGCACCCTGCCTTCACAGGTGACATTGGGGGCCAGATGGGGCTGTTCATCGGAGCCAGCCTGCTCACCATCCTAGAGATCCTAGACTTCCTCTGTGAGGTGGGTCGGGGCCCGGCTGGGGGAGGGGAGGAGTCGGTCCTCTAGGGCCCAGGAAGGTGTACCCTGGCCAGCTGCCCCTGTTGCTGGTCCCCAGGTGTTCCGGGACAGGGTACTGGGGTACTTCTGGAACCGAAGGCGCTCCCAAACGCACTCCAGCATCAATCTGGTAACAGTGCCCCTCCCCTCCCCTGCCAGCTCTAGCGGGGTGCTAGGCCCCCACCCAGAACACCTCTGACCTCCCCCTCTTCCTCCTGCAGCTCCAGGATGGGCTGGGCAGCCATGGGACCCATGTTCCCCACCTCAGCCTGGGCCCTAGGTAACACAAAACAGCCCCCTAAAGTCCGGGGAGGAGGCACAGGGCAGCAGTGAAGACGCCTACTCCAGCCTGTGGTGTCTCTCCAGGCCTCCCACCACTCCCTGCGCTGTTACCAAGACACTCTCCACCTCCCACCGCACCTGCTACCTGGTCACACAGCTCTAGACCTACAGTCCAGGGGCTGAGGGCCACCCCTCCATATCCCAGTCACACCCCAGCCTGTGCATCTGTGCTGTCTCTGCCCCAAATAAAGCTTGAGTGTGTCTGTCTTGTGTTCCTCTTACAGGACAGAGGCTGGCCAGGCTGACGGGCCCTCCTCAGTCCAGAAGTACCTACCAGCCATTGTGAGCTGGATGTGCTTCACAAACATTGGGGCCCTGGGCCCAGGGCGACTTCCCAAGTCTCTAAAAGAGGATGGTAGTATCAGGGTATCAGTCATTTGCACCTTAGTGCGAATGAGTTTATGGACATCTGAGGAGGACCCTCTCCCCAAGCCCAGAGGTGGGGGAGGCAGAGTGTGGTCAGTGGGTGCTAAGTGTACTATCAGGGCACAGCTGGAAGGGAGCTCCCACCCTGAGCCCAGCGAGCAGGGGAGAAGGCAAGGGGCTCTTCCACTTATAAGAACACAGACCGGTACCCTCCTTCGAAAGCCATGGTCTCTTTTCTCACATTTGGGACCAGGCACGGCACACAGCCTGTCTCCATGGAAATAGATTTCTTTTCTTTTTTGTGAGACAGGTCTCTATGTAGCCCAGGTTGGCCTCAAACTCTCAGCAGTCCTCCTGCCTCAGCCTCCAAATGCCATTGCTCCCAGCATTCTGGGGGAACAGTTCTTGCATCCCCAAACTCCCCACAAGAGTCAAAGGCCCCAGCTTGAGATGAGGGCTAGAGGAGCCCTCCCTTCCCCTCCTGCCAGCAAAGACCTCAGGCCCCTTTCTCTCTTTTGTTGTGCTGCACCCACTGGAAAACTGGCAGAGGGGAGCAGGGATGATCCCGGTAGAACTGGATCTTTGGATCTTTCCTGCATGTTCTGGGGCAGATGGGAACAGCCACAAGGACAGGCCAGCCCTTTGCTCCCTGTTTAGGAGGAAGCCCGTCTTTGCTCCAAGATGGGACAAGTGTAGAAGCATGGTGGGAGGCAGTGCTGCCCTGACCCCAGCAGGGATGGGGAGGCTCAGAGGTCAAGGTCTCCAGCCTCTTACAGTCTGGGGCAGGGTACAGCCAGTTGGGTGTGCTTGAGCTGGAAGGAGGGTTGCAGAGGATGCTAAGGTGGAGCATGGCCCCCCAGTCCCCTTCACCGCCACTCCACCATATCAGCAGACTGTGGGAAAGGAGCCAGTTTATGAAATTAAATAAAGTCCACGGAGGGGGTGAAGACCTGGGGCCAGGACAGCTCCACCCTGGCTGGGCCCAGCACAGCTGGACCTCAGCAACCCCTGCCCCTCCTCCCCTGCCTCACGGGGCTTAAACAGGCCAGGTCTCAGCCTGGCAGCTGGGGGACCCAGGGCCTAAGGGGGACAGAAGTCGGAAAAGTAGGGGTGTTGCAGGGCCTCCTCTGCCGAGACTCGCTGGACAGGATTACACTTCAAGAGGTTCTGGAGATGGAGAGGAAAGGCATCAGGTTCAGGCCAGGGTGGCTGTCACAGCCCTCCCCTGCCCTGCCCTTGTTCCTCTGGATACATTCTAGTCACCTACCTGCAGCAAGTCCCTTCCTGTGGCGTTGAGCTTGGGTACTACATTCACCAGGGACGTTGTGGCTGGGTACATCGGGTAGGGCTGCAGAGGGGTAGAGAGTTGGAGCAGGGGTGTGTGGCCTAGGGGTGCAGACGGCTGGCGCTTGGAAATACAAGGACCTCTGATGAACCCCAACCCCTCCCGTTCCTCATCACACCTTATAGTCTGGCAACTTGGTCATGGCAGGCCACTGCTCTTCAGTCGGTGTCCCTAGCAGCGTGGCCACAGGGTCAAGGTCACTTGTGGAAAGGGCTCTTCCCTGCCAGGGGTGGAGTTGCTCATACTTGCTCATTGCTGCCCCTCCCACTCTGCACCCCCGTTCATGACAAGGACACTCCTATTGGCTCCCATTTGCCTCACTGCACTGCCAGGCATGTTCTAGATGTTAACTAATATAACCCAAACCATGGTGTTTGTGGTCTTAATGAGTCATCCCCTCTTCCCTTCTGGCTCCAGTATCCTGGGAATTCACCTCCCACCTCAGGAGCACCCTCCATACCTGCAAGCTGTACCTTCATAGGCATAGCGTGAACCTGCTCAGGGACGGTGACCTCTGTTCCCCTCACCTCTGGAGAAGCCCTGGATCTCCCCTCCTGGGCCAGACCATCCTCACCCTCGCCCCTGTTCTAAGCTCCCTACCCACTCCCCTTCTGCAGGGAGGTCAAACGTGGTGGCCAGAGGGAAGTGGAAGGATATCGGAAGATCCTCTTCAGCTGGTCATCCACATCGTTGCCAGGGAAAAGAGGCCGTCCAGCATTGGCCAACTCTGAGAGGAAGAGAGTGGGCTAAGCCATGACACATGAAGAATCCTTCTCTCTGTGCCCCCTCCCCACCATGCACTTTCCATCCCCAGCCCCAAGGCTCCGTTTCCCTCTCCACACAGGGTAACCTCCAGATGCTATATGTCAACCACAAAGGGGAAGAAAGGGCCACCAGCACGTTACCTGCAAAGATGCACCCGGCTGACCACATGTCTATGGACGTGGAGTACAGCTTGGCCCCAAAGAGAACATCGGGTGGGCGGTACCACAGTGTGACCACCTAGAGAAGACCCCACCCACCAGGGCCCTCACTTAAGAGGGCTAGGGAGGAAGTTCCACGAGGCAGCTCAGACAGAAGACGGGAACAGCACTGGGAGTCCAGGACACTCACTGGGAACTCCCTCCTGAAGCCCATAGCCCTTCCCCAGCTCACCTCAGCAGAGTAGCAGCGGACTGGGATCCCAAAGGCTCGAGCCAAGCCAAAGTCTGCCAACTTCAGCTCCCCATTCTGAGAGGAGATGAGAAGGGATATGAGAGGGGGCAGGCTCCAGCTCCCCTCTCCCTGGCCCACCCCCAAAGTGCTCCCCAACTCCTAACCCCAGCCTCTCCAGTATCCCTTTTTCTCCAGAGCAGTACCCTGTTTATGAGCAGGTTCTGGGGCTTCAGGTCCCTGTGCAGCACATTTCGGCTATGACAAAATCCCAAGCCTTTCAGCAGCTGGAAGAGGAATGACTGGGAGAGGGAGTTAGACATAGTGGGTGTGAGGCTGTGCCCTGCAGATGGCCTGCTTCCTGCCTTGCCCTCTGCCATGGTCTGTGGCCCACTGGACTTGCAGCACTGAGCCCATAGGCTACCACCTGTTAACCTTCCAGGACCTTTAGAGGTACAACAGTAAATACACTGGCTCTGCTTCCCACTTTTCAGGAGCTTACAGTCTGGTGGGACTTCCTGCCTTCCTACCCCATTTGATTGCCCCTACCTGACCACACCTGAGCACACATGCCATAACCATCAACACAAACTCAGTACAGTATTACAGTATTATTTGGAATCTGATTCTCCTGGGTTCTGGGCCAAGGCACTTGGTCTCAGGTCTAGACCAGTGCCTGGTGCACAGCAAAGCACTCAGTAAGAACTTCTTGAACAGGGCCAGTGATTTAGCCCAGTGGCGCCACGTCTGCCTTGCAAGCGAAAGGTCCTGAGTTTGATCCCTGGTACCAGGAAAAAAAAGAACTTGGACAAGTGAAACATCTCTTTGAGCTTTTTGAATCTCTCAAATGCAAACACCTTTGACATCTCAAAGCTTTACTGTGCAGATCAAAGAAAATCCTGGTCTTGCCCCTGGTGACCAGCAACAGGGTCTGCTCATTCTCTCACACCTCCAGGCCCAAATTTGCACTAAAGGACCACTCACACTGAATTTGAACCCAACCCAGCCTCACGAGTCCCCAGGACAACCCTCCCCTAACCTTCACAATCTCAGGATCGAGGTCACCATTGCAGCTGTCAAAATACTTTTTCAGGTCCTAAAAAGGGATGGGGGTGGGAGAATGGGACAGAGTTTAACCTCAGTCTGAGCCCCAGTAGCCTCCCAACACTACTGCACTCCAAGCCCATCTTTTACCTGATCACAGAACTCGAAAACCAAAGTCAGCTTCTTGTCACTATGAAGGACATCATGAAGCCTAGGGAGAAGGAAGGGCTCAGAAGCTGGTCCCTAACATCCATCCCAATACCAGCCCCTCCAACACCCCACACAGACAGACAGGGAGGGCAAGCACACACACCTGACAATGTTCTTGTGCTTCAGCTCCTTGAGTAGGCAAATTTCCCGGAGGGCTGAACTGGGCACACCCTATGTGGGCAGGAGCCAAGAGGAGCGGTCAGAACACCCCCAGCTCTTTCAGCCCCTCCCCCACTCTGCCCCATCCTACCTCATCGTCGTCATCCAGCCTCACTCGCTTCAGAGCCACAATCTCATGGGTCTCCCGGTTTTTGGCCTTGAACACTGTTCCATAGGTGCCTAGGGGAAGGGCGGGGCGGGGGGGGGGTTGAGGAAGATGTTGCATTCTCTGCTACCCTAGGAAATTCCTCCCAGGAGGGGGCAGCATCTCAGTGCGCATGGGAAGGGTTTCAGGGGTAAGGCTTGGCCCGGAATAGCTTTGTGAGTGAGGATATGGCAGGTGAGGCGCCGCAAGAAGGTGCATGCAGGGGCTCAAGGGTCCTGGTGGGAAGGAGAGCCTGCGGCCCAGGGGTATGAAGTACTATGATTAAGGTGGTGGCCCAGGAGGTCTGGAAATAATGGAGAGAGGTCTAGGGGAAGAACAAGGGCCTGCAGAAATCCTGAGGTTGGAGGTCGGGAGCAACCTGAGGCTGGAGGTGGAGGTGAGGTTAGCAAGTGGTTCTGAGCCTAGGGGTGGGCGATGCAGGAAGTGCCCGGTTGGGAGGTCATGTCTATAAGGAGCGCTGAGGTTGGGAATGGGAGTCTGCGGGAAATGCTAACACGGGGAGGACTGGTGTCTGCACGGAGTGTTGGGCTCAGCGGCCAGGGCTTCTGCCAGTGCTGAGGTCGGAGCTGCAGGTATTGCTGACCGTAGGGAGCAGCAAGGAATACAGGATCTGCGGAAGACCTTGCAGGAACATGTCGTGGTTCCATTACCTTCCCCAATCTTCTCCAGTTTCTCATATTTCTGCATCGCGGCGGTCGCGGGGACCCCTGCGGGCCCTCGGTTCTAAGACTTGGCCCCGGCTTTGCAGAGGAGGCGGCACCCTAGCCTCCCGGCCCGCCCACCTTGCTGCCCGCGCACGGGATTCTGGGTGTTGTAGTCCTGAGCCGACCAGGTTTTCCAGGAACGCCCTGGGCAGCAGGCGAGAGAACTCCAACGCCCAGCAGGCCGCGCGATGACTCTCTGCCCCGCTCGACTCCCGGGGCCGGGCTCCATAGCGGAGGCCAACCATGGACTTCAAATCCCAGGAAGCATCGTATATCCGCTTTCCGGGCGTCCCGCCTTGGTGCTGAAGCTCCCAGTATGCCCCGCTTTTGTTATTCTTTTTCTGTACCCACAGGGGTATTGCAAAGGGGACTACATGTTCCAGAATGCAGTGGGGATGGGGGGGGCGCTCTGTTTGGAGCTTGGGGTTTGGCGGCCTAAATCCCGGGCCCAAGTGGCCTGGCTCTTACCTGGTTGGTGATACTGAGTTTCCAAAGACCTTCTGAAAATCTCAGCCCGGGTTTCCACCTCTCCTCAGGCCACATAGCGACCCCAAGATTGACTGGGGAATGGCCCTTGTCTTCATGTCTTGCTAAGGATGACTTTACAGGAAACATCTGATCACAGGTCTGGGTATAGAGGCAGGGTTTGCCCGATTTGCTGCTGGATTTGAGTGGAAGGACACACGTACCAGGTACTTCTTTCTGCTGGGCCCATCTCGGAGCCCACCGAACTCCAGCCACTCCCTTGTGACATGACGAGGCAAGGTGGCTGGACCTTCGAGTCCCCCAGATCCCGTTTCCAGAGTAAGGCCCACTGGAGTCAGCCAGGGTGTGGCCCACGAGGCTGGCAGCTTGGTTACCCCCATCAACAGACAAGACCACAGACAGATGCTATACTTGCAGCAGCCTTTACCTCACCCCTCCACGGAGTTGATTATAGATTTCTTTGCCCTGCTCTCTAATTGTCTCATGATTGCATTCTTCAGGGCTGTGAACTGGGCAAAAACAGCCCCAAAGAGCACCGCTCAGTGCAGGAACCAGAGTTGGTACTAACCAGGTGTTAATTAACTCATTTCTATCGGAGTGCTTTTGCATAAACAATTATTGGCATTCATCCATGTAGCAGACTAAAAAGGCAAAAAGTGAATTCCTTATCTGAAAGAATTTATAACCTGTTTGGGAAAACAAGATTATACACAAAGGTCTTTAAAAGATAAGTGGCGGCTATAAACAGGGTGGAGTTATATAGACGAGGGCGGGGATTCCTCTACAAGTTGGCCTGTCTGGGGTAGCTCAGGATAATGGACAACCAGTCTCCAGCGCTACCACCCCCTGCCAGGCTGCCACCCCGCCCCTCAGGCAAACTCAAGGCTTTCTTGGGGTCGCCGCGGGTTATTAGGTAGGGACAGCTGCAAGAGATTCAGATCCCTGATGCGTTTATAGTTCAACTTCTTCTGCCCTTCATTACCCGGGCATCCATGTGCACTCCAGGTCCCCAGCGGGAAGCTAGCTCCTTTACGCCCAGAGGTCCCATAATAGCGCCAAGAGACGGCGTCCCCGGGGCGCCAGACTTCCGACCGGGGAAGCCCGGGATGGCAGCTTCGCAGGGCCTGACTGAGGGACCACGGAGGTGGCTCCCTAGCCGTCCCTGGATGCCCAGCAGTGCGGCCTGGAAGCGCACCCCGCCCAGGGTCCAGTCCCCTGCTCTCCTCCTCTTTTCTCGGCGCGCCGGGGCCGCGCACGGCGTGCTAGGAGGGCGCGCACGCTGGGGGCTGGCCTGCCCGCGGCGCGGGGGAAAGTTGAGTTGCGAGAAGTTGGGAGTGGCGGGGGCGCTCCCCGGGGTGGGCACGGGGAAGTTGTCGGGAGCGCTCGAGGGCACCGGAGGACTGGGGGAGCCCCCAAGACCCCCGGGGCCTGAAATCCAGAGCAAGCGGGTGAGCGGAGAGGTGGTGGCGGGGGAGGGCCAGGGCCGCGGAGGGAGGAAGGGAGGGGAGAGAGGGGGAACTCGGGACTCGAGCGGGGAGGGAGTGGAAGCGGAGGAAAGGGCGGAGACTGGGGCGCAAGGGAAAGAGGTCTTGGGGAGAAAGATGGGGAGGCGCTCCGAGTGCTTGGCTCAGGGATTCCTGGGTCCAATGCTCACCGTTGCCTAAAGCCGGGGTGCCGCGCCCCCGGCCACCAGGAGGGAGTAGTGTGCGGGAGGCGTCGCCGCCGGCTCTCCCACTACTCCCGGGCAGGCTCTAGGCGACCCCGCTCTCCGGCAGTGTCTCCCAGTCCTGTCCCGGAACCCTTCAGAGGGGTTGCCCGGGGTCTCCGCCCCTGGTCTCCGGATAAGGAGGTGGAGCCAGGAACGGGGGGTGGCGAGTCAGGTCGGGACGAGGGGTCTGGCAGAAGAGGGAGCAGCTGGGTGGGGATGAGAAAGCCGCGCCTGGGAAGTTAGACCTGACTCCCGAGGGCTCGCGCCGCCTGGATGGGCAGCTTCGTGCTGAGTGTGGGGGCAGCGCTGCCTGAAGTCCAGGGTCCCTTGCTCCCCGACAGCCCTTCAGCGAAGAGCTGTGGAATGTACAAATTCACTTGAGGAGTGGTTAATGCCCAAGTGGGGGTCCGAGGCGCTAATCCCTTGGGCAAAGGGAGAGATGCTAATCCTCCGGGCTGGTCGGGACTGGTCCCGGAATGTGCCCCCATCCGGATTATGGGCACCGATGCTCTGGACAGAAGCTGCTTTGTGTTCTGGGACAGCGGGGGAGGGGGAGGATGGGGGCATGGGTTGATGGAGGAGGGGCTGTGGAGGGGCACAGAGGCCAGGACCCGGAGGTGGGAGTGAGTACCTGCTGGTGCCGCTGACAGATGCCCAGCAGTCGTCCCAGACCCTGTCCCCTCCCTGGGCACCTCTCCCCCACACTGGCTGGCCCTGGCTGCTGGTCTGCTGAGGGGGAGTTGGAGAGAAGAGTCAGCTGAGTTGTAATGGTTGCCAGGAATGTGTCGCCAGGCTCCCCACCCTAGGCAGACCTCCCCAGACCTTTCTTCTGTGATCCTACACAGACCTGTCTTTCCCCCAGGTAGCTCTCAGTTGGGCAACCCTGACTCCCCAACATATTGAGGGAGCTTCCTGTTATTACTTTGCTAGAGGCTAGGGTGCTGCCCCACTGGGAATGGATATCCACATTTGCACTGCTTGAGATCCTTTCCTACAGCTCCCCTCCTGCTTCAGCCCCTTACCCCCAACACACAATGTCCCCATCCCCTCCCTTAGCTCCCCTACACTCACAGTCAGGAGGGCCACAGCCCTGCCACTCAGATTTTCCTGGCCCCAGACAAGGGACTGGAGGAATGGGGACTGCCCCTCCTGGAGCAGAACCTCAGGGTTTCTGTGTCCACCCCTCCCAGCCATCACGTGCCCCTCCCCCATTATAAAGCTCTGCCCAGCCCGTGCCCACTGCCTGCCCCTTCCTCCTGCTGCTGAGCAGAGCTGAGCCCCTGCCCTTCACCCTGGGAGCCTACTTCTCTCAGCCTGCAGGCACAGACAGGGGAGGGGGTGCCCGCCCCCACTAAGGCCCCCTGCTCGCTGCCTGTCTTGGGCTCTGTCCAGATTCTTTCTTTGCCCCCTCCTCCACACCTCTCTGCCTCATGAGGTGTCTCACGCCACACCACAGCCCTCTCTGATCTCAGGCCTACCTCCCAGTCACCACGGGCTGGGTTCCTGTTTCTGTCTGGCCCCTCACTCCCCTTATTGCCTGATTCTTTATCACTCCCTCCCTGCTGGGTTGCTCTCTCTCCAGGCTGGGCCTTGACTCCTTCCTCCCCCGGTATCTGCAGCCTCTCTCCATTCCAGTCTTTCCCAGCTCAGTCTCTGGGCCCTTTGTGCCCCATGAGCCTCAGTCCTCTCCTCCGTGTGTGCCTTTGTTCTCCTCTTTTCCTCCTATAAATAACTGTTCTTTGCTCTTGCTGCCTCGGAGGGCCACTCCGAGGCTCTTCCTAGTCTAGGAGAATCTGTGTGGCAGGCAGAAGTGGGCTCCTCTCCTCTCTGGCCTACTCTGCTTTCAGATGGTGACTGGTCCTGTCCCCTGCCCAGGTTATGCCTCCACCTTGTTGTTCTGAAAGTCGCAGCGACAGCGAAAAGGGCTAGGATTTGGCCATGAGCAGCGCTCCCCGGCGCCCCGCGTCGGGCGCAGACTCTTTCCACGCGGTGAGTACCAGCAGCCACAGGCCACACAGGTGCTCAGGCTTGGGTCCTGCCAGGCAGGAGTTGGGGAATGGGAGCGCCGCAAAAAGTTGGAAAAGGAGCCTGGGGTGGGTTCCAGAGAGGTGCTTGCCTGTACCCTGACCTTGCACCAGTATGTGTGTTGGGGGCTTCTAGAATGGGGGCAGCTGGCTGTTTCCTGAAGACTCAGGTGGTAGCTGAGCCACAGCTGGAGAACTTGGAGGACCTTGGGTCACAAACCTGGTGACCCCCTGTGACCTGGCCTTAGATAGGGCTGCACACACAACTGTTGGGGCAGAGCACCCTGGCTGTGGCTGACCCCGCCCTAGACCCCGCCCCTGGCCCCACGTGTCCCTCCCTCTCCGTCCCCCACGTGGCTACCGCCCCACATGGCCCCCTCCTGATTTTCCTAAGGAGTGTAATGATTAACCCCAGGGCCACAGTCTGCTCCGCATTGGTCCCTGTGGCCCGGTGGGACACGTGACTGGGAAGGGAGCGGACAGGTGTCCTCCTCCTTCCTTCCCAGGGTTACTCCGCCGGCCATGGAGTTCCTCCTGCAGCCTCAGGTGCGAGGGGCATGCGGCCAGCCCTCAGCCCTGGGCGCCCCCTCCTCCTACTCCTTTCTTGGGCCCTTCTGGTGGGGAGGCCTGAGCTCCAGCTGCCGATGGGCTGGGCCCTCTAACCCTTCCACTTTGCATCTTCCATCTGGCGTCCCTGCCAGCCCTCACTGATCCTGTCCGCGGACTCCCCCCCCCTCCGCGCCCCAAGACCCGCCCTCCGTCCCTGCTCTTCCTCGCTCTCGCGGCTGGCACTGCCATGGGGGGCTTCATACCCCCGCCCTTGGAGGTCCAGATGCCCTTCAGGTCCAGGAGCTCTTGAGCAAATATTTGGCGGTGCCTGGAGCTGA